GAAATGGAAGATTTGGGGGCAAAATGCACCCCAAGCCTATGTTCCCAGGCACCTGACTCCTTTCCCCCAAGCTGTTGTCCTTCTGCAATGAAATGCCAGACAAAATAAGAGTTGAAAGATGTGTAGACTCAACGTCCAGCAAAGCAGCCAGGTCTCCTTTCTTGGCTCCCTCCCTTGGCTAAGGGTAAAGGCAACCTCGGCACCAATTTTCAGCAAATAAGCATGATGTCACCCCTGCCGGCTCCCAGGCTTCAGCATCACGCCCTGGCGCCTGGACTGTGTCACCGGAGCCACCCTGCTCGCCAGCTGGGAGGGCCAGACCAAGAACCTACTATTGGGTGGCGGCTTCCCACGGCGGCTGCAGGCCCAGGATGTTCAATCTTCCCCTACAGGAGGTTTCAGCAGCGATTAGGCAATGTCAGGGAAAGAGAAAGAGCCCAGCTGGACCTTGGAGAGCTTTATGTGCTGGCTTCCTGGCAAGAGCATCGTTGAGAAGGTTCTGGCTTGAAACTCCAATGCAACTCACTCTGGGGACTCCAGGATGTGAAGCTGAGTACAGGTGGGTAATTCGGCAGAGATTCCTGAGGAGGATCTCTAAGTGGGGTGGTGGGGGCACATCTCCAAACCCCAGCAGGCGTTCCAGAGATTGAAAAACTGAGCTTGCGGGAAAAGCATCATGTCACGTGACTGCATTCTAGTGCCCTAACCATGGAAAGGGACTAGTTCTCACCAAAACAGCTCCGGTGGTTTCTGATACTCAAAGATACATTCTTCACGTGTTTACTCTGATTCGTGTTTGAGAGATTAGCTTCCTGACATTGGGAGTCCTGGGAAAAGAGGGAGGAGCAGGGCAGCTTCAGGATGCAGTTGTGTAGAGAATGTGATTGGGAATCAAGAGGACCATATTGGGGTCACTAACTAGCAGTGTGACTAGTCACATCCCCTTCCTGCCCTTCAGTTGTTCTTGCTGCTTGGATGACGTGCTAGACCCTCATGAGATCCCTAAAGCTATAGAAAACTCTAGGACTTAAAAAGACAGACCCAAGAAGGGGCCTCTAAATGCTTCTCCCTCCTAAAATGCTCTCCCCTTCCAAGGACTGGGCATGCACTGTGTGGGGGAGAGGGCTGGTGCCACTTCGCTGCATTCCAGAAAGGGAGAAGCGGCATCCAGGTGGCTGTCCTGGGCCGTGAAGGTGTACTGCCTGGCTCCAAGTCCTGGTGGGAACCCGTCTTCCCACGGAGGCCACGTCTGGCCAGGACAGGAAGCTGCGCTCACCAGGTTCTGCACAGCTGACCAACAGAGAGGGAAGACCCTGTTTGCTGGCAAACATGAGTGGGGACTGCTTGTTTCCTAAATGTTTCCACAGGACACCTCAGACTAGAGCTCGTGGGGAGTGGGAGATCTGAGTGTCTGGGGGCAGGGGATGAACGAAGAAGGAAAGAAGGAAGGAAAGATCACTTCTTACTTGGGGGGTTCAAGTAGAGCTTTCAAGTGCCATTCCTCCCTCTCTGCCAGCTGGCATGGAATTATGTGGAGGCACCTGGCTGGCCACAGCTCAGCAGGATGGCCACTGCCACAGCCCCAGCTGGGCTCAGGGTGGGCTCACAGACACGTGCACCAAACAGCGAGCCACCCAACAAAGCGGCAAGAAGGCTCAAGTGGGATCTGTGGTTCAAGATGGTGTGCTCTCATGCCTCATGAAAGCCCATGAAAATAATAGCAAAGGAATGAAGATAATGGGATGGAGAGGGGCTGACAGTAGGCGAGAGATGCCAACCAATGAGTAGCGGGGCACAGGACTTGACCACCACACACCGGCAGAGGTATGCCATGGAGCAGCCTCAGCTGCAGTCCTACTTCACAGTGGAATCAGGGGGACTCCAACTCGGGAACACCAGGCATAGCAAGGCAGGAGCAAATTAACGAGTCTAAGTACTGACCGTGAGGAGATGGCCTGCTTGGGTCAGGACACAAACACTCAGGTATATGCTAGATCTCCAGGTACAGCTCTACAGTCTGTGCACTGCACAAAGATTGCTTGGCTAAGGGAATAGCTGGTAGTTAAAATCTAGTCTCTGCTCCTCAAGCCTCATCCTAGCTCAGGTCTACATCTTGCTGGAGAAAGAGGCAAAAAATGCCATCTGCCAGTAAGCCAAGTGCCTATGGGTGGCATCTGCCCAAAGGGGCGTCTTCCTCTAAGTCATCCACCCAGAGGGAATGCCTTTTATTGAAACTGCATGAGGACACTACATAGGCCAGTAGAAGCTCTATGTATGTCCCTCTTTCTCAGGCAGGAGAGAAGTGAAAATATCTTGAAAGAAACATAATAAGCCCTAGAGAAAAGACCTGAAATTGATATGTAAGGTACTCCCATGAAGGGTCCAGGTGCTAACTTGGTGACCATACAGAAAAGCCCACCGGTTGATACACAGAGCTTCCAATTTGTTTTCTTTTTTTTTATATATATTTTTTAAATTTTTATTTATTTATGATAGTCACAGAGAGAGAAAGAGAGAGAGGCAGAGACATAGGCAGAGGGAGAAGCAGGCTCCATGCACTGGGAGCCCGACGTGGGATTCGATCCCGGGTCTCCAGGATCGCGCCCTGGGCCAAAGGCAGGCGCCAAACCGCTGCACCACCCAGGGATCCCTCCAATTTGTTTTCTGATGTGTCACTCTTTAATATGAACAGATCCAAAGAACCACCAGGTATTTGAAAAAGCCTGTAATATGAACAACAGAGCCTGAGACTAACCAGGAGAAAGGGAACTTAGAGTAAACATAGATAGCACAGAGGAGCAGAAAATAACTTCCCCAACCCCACTGTCAGGAACATCCACAGAGAGAGAAGAGCTGCATCCATGAAATAAGAACATGACACGATAAAACAGGAACAAGAGAATAGCAACAAACCATTCTGGAAATAAAGCATTAAATATTCAACCGGTACACAAGAAGATAAAGCTGAATGCCTCTCCCTGAAATCAGATCCTGACAAGAAGACTATAACTAGAAAAGATAAAAAATATTAAAGGATTATAGCCTGGAAGGTCCAACATTGGAATAACAGGTGCTTCAGAAAGAAAGGATGTGACCATCGTAAAAAAAAAAAAAAATCCATGAAGTTTCCCACGAGAACCCAGCATGACATCACACCACCTCTGGCGAGGACACGCCACCACCAGAACAGCTCAGAGCACTAAGAAAGGGATCTTGAATGCTTCTTTGGAGGTAGGGAGAAACCCAAGTCACATCTAGAGGCTTGGGGATGTGGATGGTGCCAGAAGTCCTAACAACTATGCTGGGTGGGGGGGCAGTGGGAGGGAGTTATTCTTACGAGCAATCCTATACCCAGCTACCCTTGGGTATGGGCAGAATCAAGATATTTTAAGGTATGCAAGATCTTAAAATATTTACGATATTTACTTCCCATGTTACTTTCCTCAGGAAGTCACTAAAAAATGTGCCGCACCAAAAAAAATAAATAAATAAATAAATAACCCAAAAAACAAAACAAAGATTATCAAACCAAGGGGGAAAATTTTGGCAAGAAAGGGCACGTTACCACAGTGCACTGCTTGGCTCAGGCACGAAGGGTCCTTATGCACGCACGCTGAACAGACATGCATGGAATGATGTGACATAACCACATCAGGAAAACAAAGTGGGGGATGGAGAGGGGCGAGACCCCCATCCACTGTAAGAGTAAGTTGGAGACATTTCTAATTTAAAAAAGCAAAACAAGTATAAGCATGTTATGTAGAAAAGCAAAGGTAAATAATAAGAAACAGCTAAAAGGGTTGAAAGTGTTGCTTCCAGGGAACCAGACTTAGGGGACTGCTAGTTTTCATTAAAAGCCATATAGTATTTGTTTCTTTATATACTGTGAATAAATATTACTTGAATAAGAATTAAAAATCAATTCTTAAAAAAAATTAAAAAACCATGGGTTGGTCTTCCCTGTAGGCTTCTCTATCCACCTTTTATATCCAACTTCTTCTTCCATATAAGCCTATACTCAAATGACATTGTTTTTTGTTTTTTGTTTTTTTTGCCTTTAAAGAAGAAATTTGTTTACAGCCAACTGGAACCAAATGATTTTTAGGCATCTTGCCACTGGGTGGTTTTAAATAGTATTACATGTTGTAATGGGTGAGAGAAGCAGCCTAAAGAGATTTTTCTGAGCAAGGTCTAGACTTGCAAAATGAAATGATTTGTGTTTGGGTCGGCTCCTCCCTGGTCTTCTAGAGTCTAGTTTAGGCAAGGGCTGCGTGGTGGCAAGGGCTGCGTGGTGGCAAGGGCTGCGTGGTGGCAAGGGTTCTGAAACATCACACACGTGCTCTCTACTACCTGTACCTTTGGGCTTTCAGTGATGCCAGGGAGCTCATTAATTAGCCCATTCTCCACGGGATGCTTGGCCTTCAAGATGGAACCGCTCCAAGCTCCCGACAGCTTTCGGCTTGGAAGGCTCAGATTTGCTCTAAGAACTAAGAAGGAGAGAAGGCAGGCTAAACCCAGAATGGGATTTTGGCTGTCATCGATTAAAACGTGCTACGTAAATTCCGTGGGCCATGCTGGGACTCGGTTAAACTTGAAACGCGCTGCCTGAAATAAGCAAGCGTCTTGGCTTGCTAAGAGAGAGCTGGGATTTCTGGAGGAGGAACAACTGGCGGCATGGCAGCCGGCAAGCTGTCCCTACCATCAAGGGCACTCCAAAAGTCACGGGGGGCGAGCGTGAAAGCGCACGCAGCTTCCTCACGGGGAAAACAGGAGTACAAAGCAAAGGCTGTCGCTGGCCCCAGTTTTTGGTTTTGTTTAAATGAGGACATTTTGGGGTCCCTGGGTGGCGCAGTGGTTTGGCGCCTGCCTTTGGCCCGGGGCGCGATCCTGGAGACCCGGGATCGAATCCCACATCGGGCTCCCGGTGCATGGAGCCTGCTTCTCCCTCTGCCTGTGTCTCTCCTCTCTCTCTCTCTCTCTCTCTCTCTATCATAAATTAAAAAAAAAAATTTAACAAAAAAAAAATAAATGAGGACATTTTAATCTAATCATTTAGTTTTAGTTTTTTTTTTTCCTGGGACCTTCATGGGCCCAACATGAGTTTCCTCAAAGAGGTGACAGCTCATGGTGGCACGGGTACCCCTGCAAGTCTGTTCCTGGTTGGCTGCATGGCCTTGGTCAACCTGCTTTGCCTCTCTGGGTTTGGCAGACCAGAGGCTGTCTGAGGCCTCTCCTGACCTAATGGTCTGTGATCTGTTGAGTACCACTTGCAGGGGCAGGAAAGATGGGAGGAGGGTCACCATGGCCCTGCATCTTGGAGGGAAGTGGGAGCTGGGGGTTGCAGGGCAGAAGGAAGATGGGAGGGTGGGGAGACCTCACAAACTGCCTGTTCTGGTCTACTTCTCGGGGTACCTTCCAGAAAGTCTTTTCAAGAATCCCATCATGACCGACCACAAAGGATGCCCACGCTGTCGCAGGTGTACATAAAAGGCAGGTGGTGGCTGGGCCACTCCTAGCTTGAACAGCAGCCCGGACTTATTATTCTGAGCCCAGCCACTCCTGCGCTCCTCCTCTGGGCTTTTAAGGAGCTTTTGGCAGACCCTGTGGGGCCTTGGAGATTGGCGCAGAGGCCTCGGGAGCCATCAGTAGAAGCTGGGGGTGCTGGCGAGGCAAAGTGGGAGGGATCCCAGGCCCTGGCCTGTGTCTGCTGAGCTGAGAATCTAAATTCTCCCCCACTAAGAAGTCATTTGAAAGGAGGGTTCCATTGGTGGCAAATATTTGAAAATCACAGCTTTAACCTCAATTCAGCCAATGCAAAAAATTTACATCCTACCCTTCCCAGCTTCCCCCCAAAAGTAGGCTGACAGAGAGTGCACCACAGCTCACTACACAGCCCCCACGCTTCCCTCGGGCCTCCCGTTCCTGGACACGTGTTCCTGGAACTCGCAGCTTTGTGCTGCTCGGATACAACCAACAGCCAGATGAGAGCAGGTGCACAGACCCCCAGTGCCTTCACTCAAACCCCGCTCTGGGAGGAGCTCGGGGCAGTTTCCTTCCCAGCAGATGTCTCCCCGTCTTCCCCATCAGGAGGACCCTCCTCCATCCCGCCCTTAGAAACCTGCGTGGGGGATGAGCCACGACCCAGATTAGGGCTAAATATGCAAAGATGCTTCATACCTGACAAAGCAAGGCACTCAAAAGCAAACCCCATCTAACGATTCAGCCAAACACACACCTGAGTTTCGAGGACGCAGCCGAAGAGGAGAGCATGCTTGGGACTTACAGGACACAAAGGACACCGTGGAGAAGCGGGGGGTCGGGGGGCTGCTTCCCTGAGGCCCTCAGTTGTCTGCAGAAGCGCCCCTTCCGAACCCGAATAAAGTGAAGTAAAAAGAGCTCCCTCCCGCCCCTGGTCAGGGGCCTGTGGTTTTTATTATGCAGACGCGGGCATCAGAGTCTGTTGACGTCCAGCTGTGGGAACAGCAGAAGGCAGTACACCAGAAGCCAGAGGAAGAGAATAAAATACATCAAATCCGGCTGCTGGACAAACTGCGTCAGAGAGTCGCTCTGTGGGCTCTGGCTCTCCGGCAACGTGGCTTCACCGGAGTTATTGGCCTTCCTGCAGGAGGAAGACACAGGCAGGGCAGTTATGAGCAGGTCCTTACAGCTGGATGGCCGCCCCCCTGCCTCCCCAGAGGGCTGAGGGCTTCCCAGGGGGCCGCCCAGCGCTCTGCGCTCTGGTACAAGCTCAGTCCAACTGCACCACCCTAGCAGGGAAAAGCCGTCAGCCCCACGCCGCAGATGGGCATACTGAGGATTGTGGGGTGCAGTGGCTTTGCTTGCTCAAGGCCACACGATGACTAAGCCCCCCAACCAGGACACCTTCCTTTATGCCACAGTGTCCTGAAGGCAGAGCTGCATACTGACAGCACTCTGCTATCCTTAGTGACAGAGGGGGACGTGGTAAGTCATCTAAAGGAATAGAGTTCCCTGATTACAGATCACTTAAAAACAGCCACTGGAGACAGAGGCATGTTCTACCCCCCACCACCAAGTTTTTCTTTTTGGCTTTGGGATAGAACCTTGAAGATAATGACCAGTTTGACTTTGGTCAGACTCATCTTTCTTCTTTTGTTTCATAGAAGGTGGTGTCAAAGCGACATTTTGCTTTGGCTTGGTTGGATAAGGCCCAGAAGGATGCGGTGGTGACCGACCACAGCTCCCAATTCTCACAACGGAGAGGGATGGGGCTATAATCTGATTGGAAAGGGGTTGGGGGGGTGTGTGCCTGGGTGGCTCAGTTGGCTAGGCATCCGCCTTCAGCTCAAGTCATGATCTCAGGGTCCTGGGATCGAGCCCCATGTCGGGTTCCCTGCTCAGCAGGGAGTCTGCTTCTCCCTCTGCCTCTGTGATCTCTCTCTCTTTCTCTCAATTAAATAAATAAAATCTTAATAAAGAAAAAAAAAGGAAAGGGTTTGGGGACCTCTGCTTAGAGCTGCATTTATAGAAGCCAAGAATGTAAGCTTCTTTAGGGTCATTTGGGATGTGCGGTGGAGATTATGACAGAGAGAACCACCTCATCCCTGAACTATCTCCCGATGCAGACAGAGGTGAGGCCAACGGGGGATTAAACGTTTGCCTTTTGGTCTGGAAACGGATTCACATAGGACAATGGACAGAATTTTTCTTTCTTCAAACCTTTTTAAAAAAATTTAAACTATATTTTTTATTACCAAGCTAGTCAATGCTCAAAAACATGGAAAGCAGGACTGCATTTCTCGACCTTCTAGTTTCTTTTTTTTTAACCTTCTAGTTTCAATTTTCAAAATCTCTATCTCCTAAAAGTGAAAAGCACTACTTTCCTAGGGAGGACGTCATGTCGGGTGGACAATGTGAATTAATATTTCCATTTTACGGTAGGTGAGGGAAATAGGTCTTGCCGAGGGAAATAGGTCTTGCCTCTTTCTTAAAAGCCAGACGGGTAGGCTTCTAGGGATTTTACACTCAGAGGCGCTGGGCCATATTCAGAGAGGCTTTCCATTCCAATCATCTAAGTCCTTCCAAGCCAACTGAAATCCGGGGCAAATAGTTAAAAAAAAAAAAAAGTCAGTAAAATCAAGTGATTCGGTCACTTTAACGGGGTCGGGGCATCTCAGGATTGTCAAGAGTTAGCGAGATTTCTCTGGTCTCCTGTGTTCTAAATGGGCAGTTTTACAGCATTTCAGCAATATCAGACTGGGCCATCTAGTTCTCCAACAGCAAGAAATACTTTCATAGACATCCTGGCATGTTTGCACTCCCTCTTCATGTCTGCTCTGATGCCATAAAACTGTAAAATCAGCTCAGTGAGCTTCTGAGTATTGTACCTGCAGTGGCGACACAGAATGAACACGTTGTCAGGGGCTACAACACGGGAGAGCACGCACCGCAGCACGTCACTACTGCCCGGCTCCACCCCGCACGGAGTAAATGCACCTGCAGCCTCGGGCCCCGGGAGCACTTTCTGCACCTCGTCCCCCCCACAGGGGTCCAGCAATTTCCACTCTCCCTCCTGCTTTTATAGCTCATGCATTTGCCCTGGAGCGGGGCTCTTCTGCATTACCTCAGACTATTACTATTGCCATCAACAAAGGAGAGCTGGAGGGGAGCCACCCCAACCAGGTAGGCTGGATAGTTAAAAAAGAAAAAAAAAATTAAACCCCACAAAGCTGGGAGTGGAGCCACCAACCTGGTTAACATTCGGTTTCTTCGGTCATCCAGATCTGCTGCGTTCCTCAATTGAACATAGCTAAAATGATCCTACAGTGAAATTTATAAACAAAACCCCGCAACCCAATTAGTAAAGATGAAATCTCTGAAACAGAAAATAAAATGATTTTAAACACACGAAGCCGAGCACGCCATGCTTCTCTCAACATTGCAAACATTTTAGTTCCAAAATCAAACTGCTAACTGATGATCTACAGAGTTCTACTCTCTCCCCCCACCCCTGCCTAAGTGAACCAGAGGGGTCCCGCCACCCACCACCCGAATCGGGGTGGTGCAGACCACGGTGCTTTGGGTCCCAACACACCCAGCACTAAGGAGCTGCTACTGTAAAGTGGATCCTCCACCTCTGTTCCGCTTCTGTCTTTGAGGGCGATCTTCCTGGGTGTGTGCGCGGGGGTTGGGTTGGGGGTCTTGGATGCATTTTTTTTTACGACAAAGAGGCCTTCGGGCTTTATGATCATCACTTTATTTATTTACATCCCCTATTGCCCAAATGGGACATCCAATTGGACTACGCTTAACGACAAGGTTTGAATTTGCTTGTCTTCTATCCAAAAGTATATTTGTTGCACATCAGTAATTTCAAAGCTCTGGGCTGAGGAGGAGGAAGGATGGAAATGAACTGATTAGCAGGGGCCACACAGAAGAAGAAATTCACATACTAACCGATTCCAAAGACCTGTTAGTATGTCGTCGAACGTAAATGCTGGAGTCACTGTGACTAGTCCTGAAAAACAAACACACATGTTGAATTGGTTGCCACCAGGAGCTCCTCACGGCTCAGTCGTACGGTCACCCCCATCCCAAGTCTCCCACAGGTGGATTTAGGCAAGCTAGGAATTCAGACCCAGCAAAGGAAAGGAGAAATTTTATCCAGTATGCCCAGTTGGGGTGGGGTGTGCTTACAAATAATGGGATGGATATTAAAGATACACTGTGGCCTCATCTACAAGAGAAAAAAAAAAACAGTGAGAAAGAATTTTAAATAGAAAACAGACCACGATTTTTTTTTTTAAGTGCCAGGGCTTCAGGGAGGGAAGGGAGGTCTTTCTCCAAGCATCCTGAGATCTGGGAATTGCTGGGGGTCCTCTGCATGCTAATGGCAGATCTGGGCTGAGACCCGCTACCTGGACTCCTTCTCTAGGTGCTCCTTTCCGTGCAGGATGCTGCTCTCTGCTTGTCTAGCTCTTGGGTGCGCCATCTCTTTTCCTTTCCTGCGCAAGGAGACTACTTTTCTGACCGAATCGTTGAGGCTGATGGGCAACGTGTCCCTGATGATCTACTAAAGCTGGTTCACCCAGGGCTGAGGCAAAAGACACCCAGCCAGTGGCCTGGGCTCCTGATTCACTGGCAACCTTAGCCACGCATTTTACATCTTTGATCAGTTTTCCTTATCTGCAAAATGGGTCATTGTTCCCACCTCCACCACGTCATGGAGCTGCGGTGCTGGTGCTGAGAACAGAATACTCCAGGTACCAGTGGCCCTGTCTGGTGCTCAACAGGAGAACTGGGTGTTGGGTGTCAGACATAGTCATCTCAGCTTCCTTAAGGTAAAGCTACCATGTGGCATCCTGGGATCCAAGAAAAAGGCATCTGACCCAAGAGTTTATTTCCAGGGAATTCATCATTGGCAGCCTTGCTATTCCTGCCCGCTGCACTGCCCTCCTGAAACTTCACCGACCTCTTCCCCTGCCTTGGGCATGTTTCCAGCTAACAGGTACTGAGTACCTATTATGTGCCAGGCGCTGGGTGAGGTCCAGGGAAATTTCAGTCCTGTCCTCAAACCAAAGCCTGTGCTAGTTTTCCCCAGCAGGGACCACAGCATAGAAACAAAACAAAATGCACCGCAAAGGAAAAAGAACCTCAAGTGCCTGGGACCCAGGACTGTCCCATGAGCATCGATCAGTTCATGGAAGTACCTGGAGATGCAGGTGGGCCCCACCTGCTTAATACCCACTAGTATTTTCTAGTAAAAAAGCACATCTGCATCAGGAAGGGCTCCCGCTCTTCCCCCGCCCTCTCGGAGCACTTTCCCATAGGTGGTTTCTGTGTTCTAGTACCAGCCAGAGGAGGCTCATCCAGGAATGCCTCCTCAACTTCATCCTCTCAGCAAGCGTCATCAAGAGCCCTACTGTGTGCCGGCACGGGGCTCGGCACTGAGGGCCCGGCTCCTCGGGAGCCCAGCCACCGCAGGCTGAGAGGGCAATTCATCCATTTATTCATCCACCCGAAGAAGAGTTTTTACTAAAGGCCAGCTGCAAGCCAGGGGTGGTGCTAAATGCCAGGGCTGTGCTGCAGGCCCTCCCTGCCCCCAGAGAGCTGCCTCGCCGTCTAGGGTGAGAGCAGATGATAAATACGGCCTTACACAAATGATCAGAGAAATGATTATTTTGATAAATGTCATGAAGATAAAGAGTAGGACTCTTTATATGTTCTAAGGACATATAAAGGGGGGATTAAAAATAGCCCAGAGGAATCTAAGAAGGCTGCCTGGAGGAAGTAGTAGTTGAGCCGAAACACAGCGAAGTAAGACAGGGAACAGGCAGGGGACAGAGGGTCCTCAAAGGCAAAGGAGCTTGGGAGGCATTCAAAGATTTCAATGAGGGACACCTGGGTGGCTCAGTGGTTGAGCATCTGCCTTCGGCTCAAGTCATGATCCCGGGGTCCTGGGATTGGGCTCCCTGCATGGAGCCTGCTTCTCCTTCTGCCTGTGTCTCTGCCTCTCTCTGTGTCTCTCATGAATAAATAAATAACATTAAAAAAAAAAAAAAGATCTCCATGAAGGCCAAGGTGCTTGGCAGGTAAGGCAGGTGACCAAGAGTAGATCCAGATGCGTCTGGAGAGACAGGTGTGAGAGGTCCTGCACGCTCTGAACAAGACCAGCGGGAAGCCCCAGGGGTGATCGGGTCAGGGTACGGCCAGGAAGACATGCTCTGTCCGGCGGGGAGGTGCCCAGGGCTCAGCCTTGTTCAACAGCATTGGGCCAGGCAATGACTTCTCTGAACTCACTTTCTCGGCCATCAAAGGGGCGGTGGCACCTGCTATGGCACGGGGGAGCGGCTCCAGGGGTCCTCGCTCCTTCCCTCCAAGGAGCACACCTCTGCGCCACCTGCTTGCAGAGGGCATGTGGCTTTTCCCGCAGCGAAGACGCTCTGTACTCTGTAGAGCTGTGCCCGGGGTGGCCGGGAGGCCGCGGCAGGGGGCACGCTGCTTGCTCTGGACACATCTGCCTGCAGAGCCGTCAGGCCGCTGCCGGGAAAAGCCAACCGGGCCTCCGTCCCACACCCACCCAGAGGACCTATCCTTTCCGACATTTACCCGCTTATCTCATCTTCACTGGGACGGGTTTCGCGGGCGCATCTGCTGCAGCCGGTACGCACGATGCTCCAGCCAGTGCTCCCCCTGCTGCCTCCCGACCCCCCCACACCTGCCCAACACGTCCAGAGGTGCCTGCTGTTTGCTCAGGCTGTTTCTTCCACCCGGAATGCCTTCTCTCCTGCTCCCAAATCCCAGTCCCGCGCTATCCCTCGTGCTGAGCTCCAAGGCCATCGCAGCCCCCAGGCGGCCCGACCCTCTCCACCCGCCTCTGAGGGCCTCTGAGGTCCGAAACCTGCATTTGCCTCTTGAACCCAAGGAGCAACCCTCACGCCCAGCACAGCAGAGGGGGCACGCCTGCATGTCATCTCTTCCCCAAGGGACCGCCCCAGGAGCACTGCCAATGACCTGCTCAGGGAGGAGATGGGAGCCTGGACCACCTGCCTGCTAAGCCACAATGTCTGCCGGACGGTCCCCTCCAGGTCTCTGCAGGGACAGGGACTCGGGGAGTCCCGGGCGAAGCGGGATGTGGTGTTTCATTGTGCCTCGCCCCTCACCTGGGCCCCCATCTAGGCTCCTTTTGTCCCCCTGCAGCGCAGGTGCAGAAGCAGAGCGCAGGGCAGGTGGAAAGCAGGGCCTCCGTGCCCACCGTGGTGATGTGCAGTCCCTCCCACCTGCCTAAGGCCCCGCTGTGAGAATTCATGGGGGGACTAGGGGAAATGCTGGAAGCATTCAGGCATTAAATTCAAGGTTCAATAATGACCTTGGTGGCCCTGAATGATAAGGGGGAGAAAGCAGGATCTGCCCTTCGGCAGCTCAGTGATCTCCCCGGGGCGACTCCAGCTCCCCCGGCGCCCTCGGGAGCGACAGAGCAGATGTGCACTAGAAGCTTCCTGCACGTAGTTAAAGCCCATGATTCTCTTGCTTCCTCCTCCCCTGAGGCCAGTCAACTCTCCTCACTTCCCTGGACCCCCATTAATGTCCAGCTTCTGTGTGACATTCGTGAGGATGAATCTGCTTCTGGTCCCAGCACAGGACCCCTCGGCCAGATGAATTCTGTATGAACCATGAAGCCGTGTTTCCCTTGCTGTCTGCTCCCACCCTTGGGCCCCCACTCAACCCCCGAATCAGAAACCAAGAATGGAACGAGTTCAGGGACTAACTCTCTAGCTGGGTCCCCAGGGTAAGAAGATAGCAGCACAATACCTGGAGAGGACTTTGTGATCACCAGTGTCTTCTTCTAGGTCATCTGAGGATCGGACGGTGCCGGGTGCTATAAATACTGAACTTTCTACGTGGTCCACATGCTTCCTTTTTTCCTTTTTTTTACTGCTGATTGATTCTCCCGTTACCTTCTCTTCTAAAGAGTTTGCTAAGGTTCCAGAGTTTCCGAATTCCTGGGCCTTAAGGACAAGACAACCAGAATACAAGTCAGCCTTTCTCGCAGTGAGGTCGCGTGCCTGACGCCCCACCGCAGCGCTCCGCTCCACCTGGAGTCCAGGAAACTAGGGTGTCCCTTCCAGTCCTGCCCAACCTGGGGTGTCCTTGCAGCACAGCCTGCCGTGGCAGAGAAGCCCACCCCACTCGGGCTCCCTGGGCAGAGGGCAAAGGCCACAGATTATAAAAACATCATGGATTTCAGAGTCACTACGATCTGGTTTCGAATCCTGAGTTAGTCACCTTATGCAACCGACTTTATTTCTCTCACCCTCAGTCTCATCTGTCAAATGGGTATAATAATTATCAACCTTCTGGGGCACTTGGGTGGCTCAGTTGGTGAAGCATCTGCCTTTGGCTCAGGTCATGAGGTCCTGGGATCAAGTCCTGCATCGGGCTCCCTGCTTCTCCTGCTGCCCCCTGCTTGTGCTCTCTCTCTCAAATAAGTAAAATCTTTAAAAAATAATCATCAACCTTTTTCTCACTATACCACGGTGTTTCCCATAATGGATGTCCTGTACAGTGGGCAATGCAACCATCACCCACTTAAACAGAGGAGCGGATCCTGGAAGCCCGGTGGGCCAACAGGTGCAATGGTGGCCCCTGAGCTGGGAGAGGTACACACACAGGCAGACCTGTAGCTTGTGGGGTGACAGCTTCACTGTGCCTTTGGTGGCACAGAGCAACATCTCTAGCATTTATCTGACAAGGAAGATTCTTTGACCAATGTCCACACCCAGCATTCGGAAGCCCATTGGCAATGTTCCCGAGTGAAATTAAGAAGCCGAGGAGCACGGGGGTTGTTGGAGCCACCTCCCGAGAGTCCCTTAAGGGGCTGGAAGAGTCTGCTCAACAGGTGTCAGAATACGAGTAGAGTGGCCAGCTGGTCACACCCCAGGAGAACAAGGCTCCGAGCAGGAATTAAAAATGTTCCTGAAATGCTGGTCCTTCCCCTGTCACCCACGTGCCAATGCTACCTTTCTGCAAGGTTAAATGAGAAGAGGACCTTTTTTTTAAAAAAAAAAAAAAGACTAAGAGAACAAATTTTCCATTTTCTAGTGCTGTTGGAAGATTTCTTTTTCTTTTTCCTTTTGTTATGTTTTAAAGAAGAGCCAAGTATCAGAGAAATGCTCCCATGTCATCTTATGTGCCCAGAGGCAAGACTCACAGGCCCCGCCTGTCATCCTGGGCCACAGGCCATCCCTCTGCTCACCCACAAGACTTCTAGGGGTGCTTGGGAGCCGTGGGTGCCTGCCCATTGGATGGGCGAGAGCCAGAGGGGGCAGGCCAGAGCCCAGAGACGCAAACGGTGGCCCGCCTCATCCAGGAATGAAGTTCTCCCCAAAAGCTCATGCTCAGCTCAGCGGAAGGTAGATTCAAACCTACATCTCCCAATCTCATTCCCAGCCCGAGACTCGTTCAGTCACAGGCTGAACCCTGCCCACCTGCCCAGACCTGCCCACAGGCACACATACCCACACCACCTGCTTTTGGCAAATGACTTCTCTCTTTGTAAAGCAGAAGAGAATAAAATGACATGTCTGCATTTCTGAGGCCGCATTCGGTCTGCCCAGGGAGAGGAAGTGAGCGGCTAATAAGCCACATTAAATAGCAGAGATGCAACTTAGGCTTCCTTCCTGCCACCCACCCAGTCCCCTTTCTTTTGTCCCTTAACAGTCCGGCGAATTGCTGTAGCTGTTGTCATGATCCGCCAACCTGGGGATCCCAAGACCTGATCTCACTGCAGGACATTTCTACCCCACTGGATCATGGGGTCTCCTGCTGGAAAAGCCTGCTTGGCTGGGCTGGCTTCCAACAAGTCACAGACAGTGGGTGGGTGGTGGTGGGCGCCCGGGACCGGGTTCCTCTCCCTGGGGGCAGGAGGGGCAGATGGCAGGTGGGTCCTGGCACCTGCAGGACTACCCTCACTTCTCTTCTCTGTCCGAAGACGGACATAATAGGGGTGATCCCAAAGGGCCAACGGTTCCTGCGATGCTTGCTTCTAGGCTGTCACTGTCCGAGAATTCTGCTCCACCCAGTGCATTTTCTGGGGTTGGCAAACTGATAAGAGCAAACTTCCACTTCTAGCCTATCTAAATCCTAAACATTGGGGCGCCTGGGTGGCTCAGTGGTTGAGCATCTGCCTTCAGCTCAGGGCATGATCCCTGGGTTCTGGGATCGAGTCCCACATCGGGCTCCCCGCAGGCGCCTGCTTCTCCCTCCACCTATGTCTCTGCCTCTATGTCTTTCATGAATAAAAATAAAATCTTAAAAAAAATCCTAAATGTTTTAAGGCTACTGATAATGCCCCTTTCTCTTGCAGCCCTCCAGATGCAAGGATTTCTCATTCCCCTGAGCACCTTTCAGCCCCTCACTCAGCCTTGACTCTCCCCTGCCACGAGCCAGAGCATTGTCTTTATCTTGGGGTTCACTTTACCCTACATCCGCCTTACACACCCACACCACCATGCAATCCACCTTTGTCTCCCGCGCTGCAAGCCCTGCCAGGCTGCTCTCCAGAATTTGAAGATTAATACACAGATGCTCATTCTCTCCTCAGAGAGAAAAATCACAACCACCAAACAAGGGTAGCAGAAGAGTAGAGCGCTGTCACGTGTCCCTGACTATGGAAGAGCAAGCAACTGTTCTGCCTGGGGAGAAGCTGGGCAGGCTCCTGGGAGGAGGTGTTGTTGGCATTGGGATTTGAAGGGGCACAAGTGCTGGCCAAGTGGTGCCGGAGTGGGGCAGAGCAGAGTGTGGAGTGCCTGAGAGTCAGGCAGGGGGGTGGGGGAGGGAAGCCAGTTTGGCTGGAGGGGAGGGGAGGGAGAAGACGGCAGGGGCCCCTGCACCCTCTTGCTGCCCACTCCCGTGGCCCCTCGAGCTGCTGAGCTCGGTGAACTGGGAGCACCAAGCGGTGGCAAAGCATGTGCCCAGCTGCGAGAACTCAGAAGTGCCTGTCCCCCACTTCCAAGCACAGGAGCTAGATAATTATACCAATGGGCCACCTTCAAAAATCAAGGCTGGGGTCAAAGGTGAGCTCACGTGGTTTTCTCAGGCCATCGCAGGAGGCGGGGGCTAAGGTTCACGGAGCACACGCTAGGTGTGGCTACCAGTACCCCCAACAATGACCACGGCTGCTACCTCTCCTGGTCGTCAAACATGACCCCCTTCCATCCTCTTGGCTGCCCTGTGGGCAGGCCGGGGAGGCCCCGAGGTACTAAATCTCAGGAGTGCTCCTCTGGGGTGCTAGCCCTGGCCTTGCCTGAGCCGGAGTGGGGGCCTTCTTAAAGTCTGGCCCGGGCCGCCGGGCTGCTTCTGCTTCCGTTCCATGGAGGGGGATGAGTAGAGTCCTGGGGCAGGACTCAGGGTTCCCGAACCCGCCGTCGAGTACCTGATGGCTCTCCGCTGGGGCACAGTCGTCGGCCTCCCCTCGCTGGCGGTCGTCTGGCAGGGACAGGGCGGCGGGTTCTGCGGCCAGTGTGGCGTCCTCCACAGCCCCGTCGGGACAAGGCGCTGCGGGGATGCTGGCCTCGGGGACATCCTCCTCCGGCCCTGAGAAGCTGCAGCTACTCTGAGAGGCCTCAGCCTCCGCGGCCTCCTGGGCCTCGTCCCTGGCCCCCAGGGCACACGGATAGCCCTCCGGCTCCTCGAGCTCCAGGTCTTCATTTTTCAAGTCCTCCACACCCTCCGCATAGGCCTCTAAAACCGCAGCCAGGGGCACCTCGTAGTGCGGGTAGTAGAACAGGTCGTGGGGGATGACGGAGATCTTGGACAGGGGTGGAGAGGGCTTGAAGTCCAGGCCCTCCTCGCTGCGGCTGCACAGGGTCTCCAGGCTGACGCTGCCTCTCAGGGGGTCAGGGGGCAGCTCCCCCTCTGGCTCCTGCGGCCCCGGGGCCTCCCCGTTGTCCTCGCCCCGACGGCGCCGTGGGGACTTGCGCTTGGGCTTCTCGTACACCTCTGGCTTTTTATCCACCGGCGCCTCCCCTGGGGCTGGAGAGGAGCCCTGGTCTTCCTGCCCGGGGTCCCTGTGAGGTTCAAGGCCATCGGGCCTCTCTGGGGACTCGTCCGAATCTTTCCTCTGGTGCACAGACTTACTCCTCCTCTTCCCCGGTTTCTCAGCGTGACCCTCCAAAACCTCGTCCTCCGCTGTTTTTTTCTCATGAGGAGAAGGGACCTCATTGAAAGCCTGGCTGGTCGAGGCGACATCTATGAGGTCGCTGCTAAATGTAGAGGTTTTCAAGGGTATGCCCTCAAAACAGTCTTCCTCACCCATAGCTTCTACGGTCAGCAGCTTGACCTTGAACTCCAAGGAATTGGCCATCATGGTGTTGTCCTCAAGGGGTGAGAGGGGACAGCTCTCCTCCCCTGGGCTGCCCGCACCCTCTGGCTCCCCGTTCCAGGATGGAGAACTCTGGGAAGTCTGCGAATGATTGCTCCTGCCGTCCGCCAAAGAGACGTCACCCGGGGACTCATCAGAGGCTGCTTCCGCAATCTTGGGGGCCTCCTGTTGCGACTTTTCCTCAGCAATCTCAACTGCCAGGAGGTACCCATCCTGCTTCAATGAGTCCTTTGTCCCTCTCGGGCTCCCTTCAAAGCGAAAGTCATGACTGTAGAAAGGATCCTTACTGCAGGAAGCGTCCTTGAAGGTGTCAGCCTCAAAGTGCACGGTTTTCTTGATCGGCAATGAGTTGGACCTCCGGCTGTCCTTTCTGGATGATAAAATGGAAGATTCTGGAGACGGGTCGTTGGTGCTGCTGGCCTTACCTGGGTCCCCTTGCAGGGCCTGGTCGATGATCTGGTGCATGAACTCGGTGGCGCTGTCTGACAGCGCACAGCTGGACACGCCATCCTGGAAGCTTTCTTTCACGCTCTCGGGCTTGTCACAGACGAAGACTTTGGAGGGTGGTGGTTGGCTGGCTTCGTGGTTAATGGTGTAGGCTCGGTCCCCGTTTTCGGTCAGAAGGAAGACCGTGCCCTCCTGTTCAGAAGGAGTCTCTTTGATGCGGACAAAAGTGGATTCAATTGGAGCTTCTTTATCCAAATCCGTGAAATCCTCCTGCGAAAACACACAGGGCATATCGAAATCAGGGGGGCGTTGACATACAGTGTGCATCCCCCTCTCCTAAAACAAAAACCGACGTGGAAAAGCCACTTCGGAACTCAGGCGAAGTGTTCTAATTAAGAGATGCAGATGGTTGCTCTGGCTGAAATGCGGAGACACCAGATAAGTTAAGAAGAATATGTTTTTAAAAGCTGTGGATACGAAGAAATGCTTACTTTGCTTCTTTCTAGTACTTACCACTACCTGAACTTAGAGGATGTATTTGCTCACTTGTTAACTGTTTTGTCTCTCAGAACGACGCTGTGCGAGGTCAGGGACCTCGTGCATTCAGCTTACTGCTGAGCCCCCCCTCCCACCTCTGAGAAAGCAGCGGGTGTTCAGTAAATTATTTTTAATTATTATTTTTTTTATTTTTTTGGTGTTCAGTAAATTACTAGTGAATTCAATAAAGATCTACTGTTACATTGTTGCTGTCACTAATACCATCTCAAGGTTGGGGACAGCATGGGTTGCAGGCTCAGTGGAGCTGTGACAACTTCTGAAAGGTCTGATTCCCCTCCAAGTGTAGTCTGGGATTCTGAAAATAAGAGGGCGTGCTTCTGCACGATCATTGTCTTGTATCCTTTTTCACATTCTGATAAAACGCAGTAAACTGCTAACATGTTCCGGCCGACATCTAGAAGATCGTGTAGCCAATCCGTGTGCCAAGCAGGCAGCTTTAACCATCTCAGTGAAGTTTGGTTTCGGGGAAGATGTTTGCAAGAGGTATGGCTGTCCAACTTGCTATCTGCTTATAAATGGAAAGCGCCTTATCTAGGATCCTGAAATTAAAATGTGCCAAGGCGGGGATCCCTGGGTGGCTCAAGGGATCCCGGGGTGGCTCAGTGGTTTAGCACCTGCCTTTGGCCTGGGGTGTGATCCTGGAGTCCTGGGATCGAGTCCCACATCGGGCTCCCTGCATGGAGCCTGCTTCTCCCTCTGCCTGTGTCTCTGCCTCTCCCTCTGTGTGTGTGTGTGTCTCCATGAATAAATAAATAAAATCTTTTTTAAAAAAATAAATAAAATAAAATGTGCCAAGGCAACGCTCAAGGGAACCTGAGATCCAGTTTTGATCACTACTGCTCACTGCACAGAACCACACAGCCTGAACCCCAGCTTTGTGTGATGGCCAACAGATGGACACGTAAGCTTTCCGCATCGAAGTTAAGGAAAACAAACCTACCGCTTCCAACTCCGGGAAATGTTCCAGAAACTGTGCCACGTAAGTCACAATAGACTGCTCGTCTGGCGTGTCAACCATGATGTCTGTCAAGAGAGACACAAGAGTCGGAAGGACGGTGAATATGCGATTTTTTAAACAGAATCAAGGGATGCTTGATGGAGAAGAGTCCCACAGATCTTTGACGTTTTCTCTTTATTTTATACTTGAGGAGATTTAAACCCAGGGGGATGAATCACTTGACTACAGTCTCACATCTGTCTGATGAAGAGCGGAGCTGGGATGCAGAATCCAGAGTTCCTCGTTCCCAAGACCGTCCGTTACTCCCTGCTGTCCGAATCCCCCCATGGGGAGCAGTCAGCTCCCTGCCGACCCCATCAGCGAGTCTGCTGAGCCAGGCCCTCCGTCACTGCTGGAGGGAGTCCCAAACCAGCCCAAGCCATGCAGAAAGCAATCTGACAGAGCCAAGCGCCTTAAAAAGGTGCGCACTTCCCGACTCTGGTGTTCCACCCGTGGCGTCCGGTCCCGAGGGGCATGATGTGGGATGCACACTGGGCTCTACGCAGCAAGATGTTTGCTGCATGTTGTATGCAAATGTGACTACACCTAAAACAACCTCATGTCCACCAGGGGTAGGAGACCTAAATCAATTTTGGTATGCCCACCGGATGGGCCATTGTGCAGCCATTAAAAATATATTACAATGACATGATGGCAACAGGTAAGGTGCTGCTGTCATAACTACAACAGTAAGTAAAAAAAAGCAAAATATAGACACAGGTGATGGGGACGAAGAGCACTGAGCAATGGTCAGAATTGTGGAATCACTGGATTGTACACCTGAAACAAATACAATGCTGTATGGTAAGTATATTGGAACCAAAATGAAAAACTTAATTAAAAAAAAAGCATAATAAAGAACCACAGTTGATCCTTGAGCAACACGGTTTGAATTGCACAGGTCCCCTCATAGGCAGAAATTTTTTTTTTTCAGTAAATACTACATAGTCCTGTAAATGTATTTTTTCTTCTTTAGGTTTTTCTGAATAACATTTTCTTTTCTCTAGATTATTGTAAAGAACACAGTGTCTGATACCTATAACACACAGAGTTAAGTGTCCATGTTGTGGGGAAGGCTTCCAGTCACCAGTAGGCTATTGATGGTTAAGTCTCTAGGGGGTCAGAAGTTATACGTGGATTTCCAACTGTGTGGTGGTGGTGGGGCAGTCAGCAACCCCAACCTCTGCACTGCTCAAGGGTCAACTATGTAGACAGTTGATCTCAATTATGTTAAAAAAAATTGTCATGAGATGCATTGAAAAATACTAAGGGGTAGGAATATAGGAAATAGCAACATGACTTCATTAGATTTTTCTGTATTTTCCAAATTTTCCTACACGCGCATGCATGTATTACACACGTCACAAAAATAATTAACAGGGAAGAAAGAGAAAGAGAGAGAACCAGCACTACCTTCTGGCTCCAGGAGCCTGGGAATGTGAAGAGCCTCGTGTGCGATGCTAAAAGCCTTCTCTAGGTTTTCCCGCATGGAATCTTCCAGAGCCTGCTTCATGTCAACCAGGCTGGGGTCGATGGCCTTGATCACGGCCAGGAAAGCCAGCCCGCTCCTCCAGCTGCCTGCAAAGTCCTGCACCGCCACGCCATACCTGCAACAAAGCAGCCACGGTGCTTTGAGTGATGCAGGTCAGCCAACGGCCTGGACTCCCCTCCACAGTGAGCGAGTGGCACGGGGCAGCCTGCTGGCCTCTGAGCGGGGCCAGGAGCTGCCGACTCGAGAGGCACTGAGTCCTGGGAGGGCTGGACCAGACCACCATGTCTCCATTTCCAGAGAAACAGAATAACATTAGAATAATCTAGAAAAATAGAATAGATGGACACCTAGGTGGCTCAGTGGTTGAGCATCTACCCTCGGCTCAGGGCGTGATCCCAGGGTTCTGGGATCGAGTCCCACATCGGGTTCCCACGGGGAGCCTGCTTCTCCCTCTCCCTGTGTCTCTGCCTCTCTCTCTCTGTGTCTCATGAATAAATAAAATCTTTAAAAAGATAGAATAATAGAATAGAAAGGCGAATGCTGCACCCAAAGGCAGATGAGGAGCTTATGTTCCCAGATTCCCAGGCACGTAAAGGAGCAACTCTCCAAACTGTGCACTTTTCAGTGATGGTCAAAATAGCAAATCAGGGGATGGAGCCAGAAAGATCCAAGCTCACATCCCCGCCTCCCTCTGTGCGTCCCCAGTGCTGTGGCCTTGGGCAGGTCCCGTATCCTCTCGGGCCCTCAAGCTCCGCAGGTGTAAACTGAGGACCATCTCACTACCACCTCTCTGCGGCTGTTGTGGGGAAGCGTTAGGTTCTGCCCACAAGAACGGCCACGGTGTAGGGATCCCTGGGTGGCGCAGCGGTTTGGCGCCTGCCTTTGGCCCAGGGCACGATCCTGGAGACCTGGGATCGAATCCCACGTCGGGCTCCCGGTGCATGGAGCCTGCTTCTCCCTCTGCCTGTGTCTCTGCCTCTCTCTCTCTCTCTGTGACTATCATAAATAAATAAAAATTAAAAAAAAAATTAAAAAAAAAAAGAATGGCCACGGTGTGAGATCAGCCTAACGTGTGGCACACGTCGCCCACAGAAGCCACCAACTAAGCGGCAACTAATGTTACTATTCACATAAATAGCATTAACATTTTTATTTTTATTTTTTAATTTATTTTTATTTTATTTTTTTTTAGCATTAAAATTTTTAAAGCGAAGGACAAAGATACCCCTGCCTGGCACCCTCTGCTTTAGAATCCATCCCCTGCGATGTTGCCGATCTTCCAACTGTGGTCACTGACCTCTCTTAAAAAACAGTTTTATTTAGAAATCACTTGAGATTCCCAAGAAGCTATCAAAGTACGGAGGGCGTCTCTCAGTGTATCTTATGTCACGCAAGTGGATCGCCAGAAGCAGGGCTCCTGAATCCAGTCCACTGGGATCTCTCCAGTGGCATTCCCGTGGGGTGGGGGGCACATCCCACCACGCTGCTCCGTCAAGTGCAGACGCCGCAGCCACCACCACGACGGAGATCCCGAACCGTCTCACCATCTCAGGAACACACGTTCTCCTTGACCGTCACCCTCCCTCCTGACTGTGCTCTCTTTCGGTTGATTTCTTTTTAAACCACATCTAAGGGTTGTCTACACTGATCAACTCTATCATGATCAAAACCCCAAAGATCCAACTCTCTCCTATCTTCTTTTTTTCTTTTAACTTTTGTTTCCATGTACCGGGGAGAAGGGATCCGATGAGTAAGTGCTTTTTTAAGGGCTGGTACCTCGCAAGGCGCTTTCACGAGCTTGCTTCACTTAATCTTAACTGTCCTGGAAGGCTGCCATTGGTTAAGTTTACCGTCTTGCAGATGCGGCCGTGACACACCAGGAAGGCCCCCAGTGTGTGCGTGGCGGGGCTGGGTGGCCCCACGGCGGAATGGCTCTCATTACACGTGGCCTAGCTTTCCAGACATCCCTGCCCACGGCCCAGGCCCCAGGGGCTGTCAGCTGGCTGCCAGTACAAGACCTGATATAAAATTGCAGAGACCCCAATTGCTGGCACGGGGTCACAGGCAGCCCAGGACCTTTGCTCCAGCTCACCTGTCTGGGTTTTGGAAAGGCCAGCCCTAACCAAGCACGACACCGGTGCTTTATCATTACCGGTGATTATTTAAGGAGGTACAGACTCTGAAAGATGCCCTGATGTGCATGTGATGAGGCTCCAAGAGCCTTTCTCACTCTGGCATTTAATGGGGTGAAGCCCCTTTGATTTGTACTCAGATCTTCCTATCCGTTTCCTGCAAACCAAACAGTGTGCAGATACAGCTTTGTGTGTCCAGAAAATAAACTGTATGGTGCTCTCTGCTCTCGGAGCCCATATGAAGCGACAGGCACATAATGTATGCCGGTGACCCCTTCCCCTGCCACCGCCTCCCACCCAGGGAAGCCCCCCACCCTCTGCCTGACAACAGCATGTAGTTGAGGGGAGGGGGACCGGGCAGGATGGCTTACTTCCTCGTTTTCCTCTGCACCCACGCCAGCAGAGTCCTGATGGCCTTCCTCTGATCTTTCACCGATACCGCCATGCTCCTTTCTGCGGTGGGCGTGGGTGGGAAGGAAGAGTCTGAGTCTGTGCCCCCTGAGCCAGGTGACAGGCTGGAAGATGGAGAGTTTCTGCTGAGATTGCCCGTGAGCTCCTTAATCTGGAAGGAAAATGGTATTTCAGGCCCTGGAGACAATCCCGGTGCCAACCCTTCTCTGACCCAAGGCCACAGGGAGCCTGGCTGGAGGGACCAGCTCACACCCAGCTGCTTCTCCACACAAGGACAAGGAAGCACCTGTGACGGTCGGGCTGTTTTATGTGGCTTGTGGTCCATGCAGACATTCACAGGAAGCTCCTCTCTTCCTGGAGTCTCTCTCTTTTGGCGCTTTGGCCACGCACACACAGTCTTCCTTCCACAGACCCGCTTCTGCATACCCCTTTCCTCTCATGGCCTATGGGCTCCAGAATGCATATGCTGTTTCAAGCCCCATGCCTGTGTTCATCCTGGTCCTGCTGCCCAGATGTTCCTTTGCTCCATCACCCAATTCCTGGCAACTCGAAATGTGGCTCCTATCGTGTGGCTCTTGCAAGAAATGCAGAAGCCCAGGCCCTGCCCCAGACTTACAGAATCAGAATCTGCATTTCAACACCACCCACGGACAACCTATATGCACAGGGTAGTTTGAGAATTGGCCTAACGCACTCCTGCTCATCCTTCAAAACCCAGCTCTGGTGTCACTTCCTCCGGGAAGTTTTCCTCACTCAAATAGTTGCTCCTCCTCAGCATTCTAGCAACACTCCGCTCATACCTTGATCAGAACCTGCACCGCACAGTCCTATAACTCGGGCCTGCCTTGTCCGTGGTCCCAGAGAGTCACGAGAGCAAGACTGTGTGTGTGCAGAGCCTGGCACATAGGAGAAACTCAATAGACATTTACTGAATGAATGAATGAATGAAGAGCTGGGTGGGACCTAAGGCCTTGACTTTTTACACATTTTCAGAGTGTTTCCAGCACCCATCGGAGAGTTTAATAAGACACATTAGTACCTGAAGCCTGTATATAACAAGGGGCTTTCCTACATAGCTGACCACTGCTCCCATTTCGCAGATGTGGAAACAGAGGCTCAGGGAGCCAGCCTTTGGTTTTTTTTTAAGTCCAAGGCTCACACAAAACTGGATCTGTTGTCTCTAAACCTTGCTTGCACACGCTCCTCTCAGCAACACAAGCACTGGGACAAAAGCCGCAGCAAATCACCCCTCTGCAGGTCACTGTTCCTCTCGGCAGGGCCGTTAAACAATAAGCCACGACTTTCTGTTTCAGAAAAGGAGATTTTAGAAGACGAAATGTCAGCTTACTCCCTCCTACTCAGGGGCAAGAACTCGAGCTGGTTTTAAATGCCGCCCTCAGACTCCAGCCACAGATCCTGTCCTTCCCTATAAAACCCACGTTTCCAAACCCGGGCTGACGTTGCCAAGGATGGAGAGCACGGTCTCAACCTATCACGTATGCCTCTTCCCGCAACCCTCTTTCATTCCGGCTCTCTAACCGTCTCTGCTGTGCATGAGTCACTTTAGGATAAGTAACTCCAAGCTCAGTGTTTGGTCAGAAGTATTTCCCTGGTTCTTGTGATAACTTTATAACAAAATCATTTTCTGCGATAAATATTTAGCTCTCTAAGTCCCAAGGGGATGGCTCGACTCCTCTGGAGAACGGAGCTCGTGTCACTATATTAAAATCACAGGGACCCAAATCGGTGGCAACCAGATGGCCTCTGGTGTTTTTTCAAGTAACAGAAAAGTCAAAATCTGTCGGAAACAAGATCTCACGGGGTCCCTGGACGCGGCCCCACGCTGTTCCGCGGGCACTAACCAGGCTCAAGGAGATCATTACTGTGTGTCATGGAAATCACTTTACCTGGAAGAAGAGGATTATGTTCCATATCAGCCCAAGAACCAAAGAGGGGTTGCCATCTGCTATTTCTGCTGCGTCGATGCTAACCAGTTTTACCTGGAGAGAAGCAATTTATGAGCTTAACACGGGCCGGTCAAGTAGGTGCTGGTTTTCCGATGCCCTCGCGGGCCTGTTGCTCTTTCTCATCTGTATCATTTGGGGCTGCCCAGGGCCCCTCAGGGACCCCAGCATGCAAAACGTATGCGGATGAGTTTCATAAACAGGTATATAGTACTTACCAGGGGCAGACACTACCCTGGGCTCCTTGTACGGATTGACTCAGTTCAACCTCACAACAACCCCACAACGTAGGTACTTCTATTATCTCTGTTTCAGGTGAGGAAATTTCACCGAGGCCAAATGTCACGCACCCAGGACACACAGCCAGGAAAGGGCTCAGTCATTCTCTTCAAGGGGAGATGGTAAGTGCCCACTGGGTCTGTCTGTATGCTACACTAATGCCACCAAACCTCCAGATTTTTTTTTTAAAGATTCTATTTATTTATTCATGAGAGAGACAGAGAGAGGCAGAGACATAGGCAGAGGGAGAAGCAGGCTCCCTGCTAGGAGCCCGGTGCAGGACTCGATCCCAGGACCCCGGGGTCATGACCTGACCCAAAGACAGATGCTCCACCACTGAGCCACCCACGTGCCCCCAAACCTCGAGATTTAACACATTTTTGGACAAACACAGAGCACTAACGTAAGCAGTCAGGAAGCACAGATGGATAAGACCGTTACCATTGCTGATTAGAAACAGCATGTTGGGGAGGCGCCCAGGTGGCTCAGTTGGTTGAGCACACGACTCTTCATTTCGGCTCAGGTCATGAGATTGAGCCCTGTGTGGGGCTCTGCTCTGGGCTTGGAGTCTGCTCAAGATTTCCTTTCTCTCTCTGCCCCTTCCCGCCTCCCTCCCTCATCTCCCTCTGTCTCTTTATGGGGGGGGGGAGAAATAGTGTGTGTGGGGATAAGGCTTATACCCTGAGTATCTGCATCATTACAAAATATCCTGCTTAAAATGCATCTATTATAGAAACCTTTAGGGGATTAACGTATTTATTGAACTATGTTCTGACCACAGGATGATGCATTCAGTGAATCCCTAAGGCACTGGTTTCTTTTCTTTTTTCTTTTTTTTTTCAGTTGTTTTTATTTTTAACTGTTCATCCCATCAAGAGGCACTGGTTTTCAAAGTGTGCTCTCTGGGCCAAGGGCAACAGCATGGCCCGTGATTTGGTTAGAATGCAAATTCTCTCCTAGTCCCCCTGAATCAGGAAGGCCGAGAGTAGGGCCCGGCCACCTGCATTTGAACCAGCGCTCCAGGTGGTTCTCTGATGTGCACTCAGGTTTGAGGCCCACTGGCCCTCATTTTATCCTGCAAACAGAGTCTGAGCACACAGATCGGGCACCTGCGCATTCTGTCAAGGGCTGGAGATAAACTCAAGAGTTTGGGAGCCACACTGGCCTCTGGCACATTTGCTTCTTCCTTCATAATTCCTTTACAAAAGTAAAAACCATACTTTGGGGGCAGAGGAGAAATAAAGGCGGTCAAGGTCTCCTCTCAAATCCTCCCTCCAAAGTCCTGCCAGGAGACCCGGGAAAGCAAGCACGAGGAGGGCATCTCGCACAAATGCTCCTTTCTCCCTTTCCCTCGGGTCTTCTACAACTGTTCCACCCTCATCTCAGATCCTATCAGTTTGTCAGGGGTTTCCGACAACCCCACCTGTAGGGCCCAGCTCTCCTAACCAGGGGAGAGGCTCCCGAGTTCCCTGGCTCAGGTCGCTCTTGCAGAGGGTATATGACTCGCTCCTCGCCGGCAGGCTGGAGCCAGGAAGGAAGCTGTCGATGTTGTGAATAACACGGCAGATCAAATTCAGGCCCAGGGTTCCCTCCCCACCTGTCCCCCGGGATGGATCACCTGCCATCGGCGGCCTGCTGTCTCCCGAGCCCCTGCACTGACAGCCCCCTCCGTCCCGGAGGCTCATGCACTCGTCCGGGTGTGGGGAGATTAAAGAGGTCAAGGTGACCATCTCCGCCTCCACTCCCACCTGGAGGAAGCCGAGCGTGGCTCTCGGAGCTGAGCTTTATGGGAAACCTTCCAAAGCCAGAAAATGATAGGGCTGCCTTGTCGGGAGACACTGGTCCACACTGGTGACCAGCCCCGGAGGGTGACCGAGGCCAGGCCTTCCTGCCTTAGCTGTGGCTTCCCCAGTGCCACACCTGCACGGGGCTGGTCCTACCTGCACGGCCCACCAGCCTGGCTGCCCACTGCTGGCCACTGGTGTTCACCCCTAAGGGATCGTGACCACCCAACCCCCCCCTCCCGTTTGCCCCTGGCGTGACATGCACCTTGCTGTGCACGTGAGGCCTCTTCCATCAGACCCTAAGCTCCTTGAAGGCGCCGACATGCTTCTAATGCAGCTGTGTGTCCCCAACGCTGAACACAACCCCAGGCCCATGGAAGACGCTTGGTCAAGATGCCCCCAAGGGCTGCTGGAAGCAAACCCACTATCTACGGTGCCTACATTCCAGGCCCATCAACGCGGGGCAGCTGACGCAGCAGGAAAGTGGTTAGGGGTCAACCAGCAGGGAGGAAGAGCGATGAATATTCCAGGCATCTGTTCTAAGGTTCTATGTTATCAGAGAAACAATGGCCCCTTTGGGATGAGAGGGGACACTGCTCGGTGCTCCCTTCCAGGAGCAGAGATGCAGGGGGCAGGGAGATGGCCAGAGCAGGTGTTCACAGAGCCCTCGCCCAGGGCCGGGGCACTTGGTTAAACTCCACCGGGCTGGGCACACTTGATCCTCAAGGCTCTGAGCTATGGCGTGGTGCTTTTATTATTTCCATTTTATAGATGAGGGAAGTGAGGCCCCGAGAGTCGGCCTAATTTTCCCAGGTTGGAAGCCTGACACGTGTGCTCCAGGACCTGTGCTCTGAACCATACAGAGGCGCAGAGGCCAAGGTGAGGCCAATGCTGGGGACAGGCCAGCCATTTTCATGAGTATGTGATGTACTTTTTGAAAAAACAGCCTGGGGAGCCTAGGTGGTTAGGCTGGTTGAGTGTCCGACTCGTGATTTCAGCTCAGGTCATGATCTCAGGGTCGTGGGATCAAGCCCCATGTTGGGCTCCGTGCTCAGTGGGGAGCCTGCTTGAGATTCTCACCCTCACCCTCTGCCCTTCCCCGCCCCAAGCGTGTGCCCTTGCTCTCTCTCTAAAATAAATAAATCTCTAAAAAAAATCCCAGCTTTATTGAAACATAACTCACACTGCATTCCATTCACTCGCGTATGGTATATCAGTCAATGGTTTTGGCTTATTCTTGGATGTATGCACCACCCGTCACCACAATTTGAGAATATATTCATCACCTCGAAAAGAGAACCCATGCTCTTTAACTATCACCATGTCCCCCATGAACTTCAGCAGCAATGAATCTATTTTCTGACTCGAAGTTCCCCAGTGTTGGACTTTTCCTAGTAACGGAATCAAAGAATAAGCGCTCCTCTGTATCTGACTTCCTTCACGTGGCATCATGTTTTCAAGATTCGACCATGTTGTACCCCAATCTTTTTTTCACGGCCAAATAATATTCCATTGTGTGGATAGACCCTATTTTGTTCATCCATTCACTGGCTGATGGATACTTGAGTTGCCTTCACTTTTTAAAAAAAAAGATTTATTTTAGAGAGAGAGAGAGAGAGAGAGAGAGAAGGGGGCGGGGCGGAGGGAGAGAAAATCCTAAGCACATTCCACACTGAATGTGGATCCCAACACGGGGCTCGATTCCAGGACCCCAAGATCATGACCTGAGCTGAAATCAAGAGTCAGCCGCTTAACCCACTGAGCCACCCAAGGCGCCCAAGTTGCCTCCACCTTTTGGCTGTTGTGAATGATGCTGCTGTAAACTGCCCTATGCCTTTTGGCTGCCACCATCTGAACTTCTTCCTGTGTCTGGAGCTTTCCCCACAGTATGGCAGGCAGAGCCTACCTCTTTCAGAAGCCAAACGTGCTTTCCCTCCCTCGTGGCAGTGGAGACATGGGTGGGATCCAGGTATGGGAGCCCAGGCCTTCGACTCTCAATGTGTAACACTGAGAGTTCAGGCGAGGGGCTGTGACGGGGGCAGGAATGTCCTTCTCCCAGGGGCAGTGGCAGCCCTGTGCGCACGGGTCCCTGTCTTCTGGGGAGGCGGGCTCTGCAGTGGTCCCGGCACCTCGCATCCCTGGATTCCCTCCCTGACTCCTCAGTCTAGCAAGACGTTCTGTGCGCTACTCGGCATCCCTTCAACACTTTCCTTTCCTGCGTACGGCAGCCAAGGTCAGCCTCTGTTGCTTACCATTAAGAACCCCGGGTGAGTCACACCTGATGAAGTTCTACCGCACACGCCAACACGGTGGGCAAGCCGAGGGCTTTTTACCTCTGGTGAAACTTAATGGAAGAGGAGCTCTGGAAATTTCATCCCTCCAAGACCGTCTCATCCCACTTTTGTTTTTTTTTTGTTTTGTTTTTGTTTTGTTTTGTTTTTCATCCCACTTTTGAAGGACATGAAGCAGAGCTCAAAACACAGAGCTAACAAATCTAGAACGTTACTTGCTAAGAGAAAGCCCCCCACTGCAGCACGCTCTCTGCACTGCGATTCAAAGGGATAAAGAAGAAAATGTGAACTGCTGATGGGCGGGGGTCCGGCCTGCTGGTCTGCCCTTCCCATAGCCGGGTGCCCCTCAGAGTTGGCGGCCAGATGGGACAGGGAGCGGCGGGCAGGGAGTCAGGGACCATCCCTCCAGCCCAAGGATTACCGGAGTGAGTCCCACTACATTTAAATTTAAATTTGACCAATTTAGCAGGGTCCCCCTTGGCACGCTTCTCCTGTGACTGGCACTCAACTTCAAACGCTGCCCCCCTCCTCGCAAGAAAAGCGGTGTTACCACGATGTGTTCCAAATACTTACATTGCTATCTTCCAAAAACTTAAGTGCTTTCGCTATGTTGTTCAACCGGAAAATACGATGGGATGAGGATTTGTATTCGTGCAGCTGGAACACAGAACAGAGCAAACCCGAAGTGAATCCGACGGAGGCGCTCAATGCCCGGCGGTGCGGTGGGGTGTGCCTCTGTCTTTACCTTTTTCTCATTAGTCTCAGGAGAAAGTTAGGGGCTTGCAGCTGAACCCCACCCCTTCTTTCTGGTCCTTGGGACTTAATTCACTGGAGTTGGTGAGTGGGGGAAGGGCGCCCTGGCAGGTTAAACAGGGGACAGACAGATTTGTCAAATTTTTCTCTCTGACGCGGCTCCTGGCCTAGGTGTTCTTCGTCCTCCAGAGATCTCCAGGGATGTGTTCTCCCGGCCACGCTGACAGTTTTGTCAGGCAGGGAGCATCAGCTGGGGTGTCCCCACAGCTGCTAAATCATCCGACAAGTCCCTCCTGCCAACAGCAGATGTTTCTGTTTTCTGCCAGGAGCCTCGTGGACAGTTGTCCCAGGTTGGAGAGAGAGGCAGACAGACAGATAGGCAGAGGGAGAGACAGAGACAGATTGAGACAGAGAGAGGGAGACACAGAGAGACAGAGATGGAGAGAGAGAGAAAGAGAGAGAGAGAGATGCTTGCAGGAGCTAGAACTCTGACAAAGGTAGCGGAGTATCCCGAGGAAGCTCCTCCTGACCCGGAGCTACTCCAGATGACGGTTTACATTACAAGGCAAACCAGTGGTGTCAGCTCCGCCAGCCGGGAACTCCAGCCAAGCCAGTGGGTAAGCAGAGGCCTGCTCTTGTCTGGGCTCCAAAATCAAAGACCACCCCCAACAGAGGCCCAGCACGGCCATGGTATCTATCAACCAGGGCCTGGACGCCAAGTAGGAGCTGGTGTTGCTGGGAACACAGAACAAGGAACCAGGATATACTTTTTCAGGACGCCTATTGGGGACTGTGCTGCTGGCTCATTGTCAGACCCACTAAGGAGCCAAATGCTATTTTTACTGCCACAGGTCCACCCTTTGTGAGAGTTCATTATGTGACTTGGTTCAGTCCACTCAACACCCCCGCCCCCCCGCCCGCAATAGTAGCTAACGGAAATTCCCATTTTGCTTTTGGGAAGGGTCAAGGGGCATGACAAGGTTCCAGCTACATTAGATCTGAAAGTAGGATGGGCTCTTGACTTTAAACCTACAATTAAAAATTGTTCTGGAGAGGTCCACACTGGCTGAGCTCTGGGCCAGTAGACCTGTGATCCGCGGCTACGCCTTTGCCTTCGCCACAATGGGGCATGGAGGCCACATCAAACACTAGACTGTAGTGTGTGGTTTTGAGACATCACCACCACTGGCATTTTGGCCAGGTCACTGTGCCCCCTCAGTGGACATCTGGCCACGTCAAGTGACATTTATGGCTATCACACCTAGGGGTGCTACTGGCATCCAGTGCATAGAGACCAAGGATGCTGTTACCTATTCTGCAATGCCTAGGACAGCTCCCATGACAGAGCTGTTAGACCCAAAATGTCAACAGCGTTGGGGACCCCTGCTCTGGGAAGGAGAGAGAGAGGACAGACCTGTGCACAGCAGACCCACACAACATGGACAGGTATGGCGGAGATCCAAAGTGGAATGAACCTCGAGCTAAGCTGGTTCAGTTCAATGTGTCCTATCGTGGTCGCCCCTTAGATGAGGTCTCACTTTCCAAGACCACAGTCAGCTGTGGTCTAAAGCAGATGACCCTCCTTCTGATGTGCGGTCAGAGGGTTAGTGGTGGCCTCACACTAGGTCACTTGCCTACGTCATTCCCCTCACTTCCTCTCATCACGTGGACATGATATCGTCTCACATTGTCCCAAGAAGAAGGGTGAGGAGAGGACGATAAGGTATTTGGAGAGAGGGAGAGTCCATATTCACATAATTTATTCTTAATTTAATATATTTTTTGACATCCACATAATTTTTATAATAGTATGTGGTTATATAATTGTTCCATTTTATTATTAGTTACCCTTGTGAATCTCTTACTGTGAATCTTTAATTTCTGAATTAAACTTCATCATAGGGATGTGTGTATGGGAAAGCACATAGCATAGATGGGGTTCGGTACTGTCTGCAGTTTCAGGCAACTGCTGGGGGTCTTGGCATGTATCCTCTGCAGGTAAGGGGGAATGACTATACTTATAAGAAGGTTCTAGAAGCCAGCAGTTGTTTTAGCCTCAGGTGGATAATAGAATTTAGTTAGTAAGATGCCTTTCCCCTCCATCTTCCTGATTCTTGGCTATTGTTCTAGTTCATGTAACAGCTGGAGAGCTAAAGTTTAATGATCTAGTTTCAATCTTTACCCTTTACAGACTCCCAGAAAACACCGAGCATTTATTTATTTACATACTAAAGTATATTTACTTATTTTAAAAAAAGGACACTGCTTAGTTATACCTGATTCTATCAGTCTTGGGTCACTGAGAAAGGAATGTCACCCTTCCACGTTTCTGGTCACAGGATCACGCATGGTCAGGTACGTGTACCTATATCCAAGGGTGTACTGAACACTAACCTCCAGCAGTGTTTTCCTTTGCATTTTATGCCTCCCTGACCCTTCCGTGACATACGTACCAGATTTCGCCCAGACAGGACTTCTAACAAAGCCATTAGGATTTTGCCATCTTGTATATCAACGAATAAATCTTTCACTTCTAGAGGAGGGTTGCACTGTGGAAGAAGGAGAGGAAAGAAGCCCATGAGTGGTCTGTGTAATCCACCAAACTGTACCCGGGCTGCAGGTCTCCCCCAAGGGATGACTTGTACACATCTAGATCTGTGTACAAGCAGCCCCTGGGGCAGCCCCTGGGATGGAGGGTGGGCTGGCAAGCCGTGGAGGACACTCGGCACCAGACGGCCCATCACTCAAGTGGCCCTGAGGACCCTTGGGACCCTGAGATCTGAGGACCCCTTCCCCCAATCACATTACATCCACACTTCCCCCTAAGGGGAGGAAGAAAGGGCATGTCTTGGTCATAGCCCTCCATAGAAGAAAATAATTCCAGCAGGACTCCCATGAAATTACCCTAGTATAAGCCCTTCACTTCAAGTCCTCAAAGAGGCTAGGTGACATGCCCCGCGTTTGGTCAGATCAGCTCTTTAGTACAATCAGTCCTGGCTTTTTTTTTTTTTCTTTCTTTCTTTTTCTTTCTTTTTTAAGATGTTATTTATTCATTCATGAGAGACACACAGAGAGAGGCAGAGACACAGGCAGAGGGAGAAGCAGGCTCCCTCTGGGGAGCCCAACATGAGATTCTGGGACCCCGGAATCACGCCCTCAGCAGAATGCAGATGCTCAACCGCCGAGCCACCCGGATGCCCCAGTCCTGTTTCTTCATCAGGACTCACTGGCTGCCCACAGGGGTTATGCAGACCTGTGCCACGATGGCAGGACCCTGGGCCGATGACCCTCTGGGCCTCAGTGCCAGGAGTTAGCAGGACTCCCTCGCCTCCAACACCGCTCCATCTCTCTATATGACCTCCCTGAGGTACCAGTTGACACTTCGTCAATATTCAGTCCAATTCTGGAGACTTGGGCAGATGTGGGACCTTTGGTAGAGGAAGCTGGGAAGGTGGCTAGTGTGTGTGACTCGGCTGTGGGGCACAGGAGCCAGCCAGACAGGCCGCTGGCCCACAGAGTGGCTGGATGGCTGGGTGAGGAGGAGAATCTATTCCTCCCCACCGGGTTTGTAGGCCTGGTAGGGACTCACAGGTTGGGAGGCTGATTTACCTGTGTTATGTTCATGTTTGTTTATATGTTTAGCCACAAAAGTCACACGTGCCCATTATTACAAACTCATGACAATTTGGTAAAAAAGCCAATGAGCATTCTGAGTATCACTCCCGCTGTTCCTGCACAAAATCCAGGCTTCTTGAGGTGAACCAACGTTTTCTCAAGATGCACTTTTTACCTGTTCTGCTAAGAATCAAGGGAGTTAGATGTACCTGAGTTCAAATCCAGGTTCTACCCTCAACAGGGATGGGGCCTTGGGTATTTTCTTTAATCTTCCGGGGCCTGAGTGTCCTGGTCGGCAAGGTCTCAGAGCACAGGGGCTAAAATGAAGTCATGTTGTGCAGGGAAGGTGCCCGGCACTGCACCTGCCTTCCCAGATCAGTGCGTCCGTAAAACCAGCTCATTAAGCGGCTTCTTTCCTACAGCGTCTTGGGGTTCCCCCTGTAGGTAGGCATTTCAGCCTGGGGGGTGTATGTTTCCCAGCCATAAGTGGTACAAAGGACATGCCCTTAGCACAGGGAACAGCCCTGAACTACTCTCTCTCTGCCCTATTTGCTTCTCTTTCTGGGTTTCCGGGGTCGGCTCCAGTTCACTTAAGCTCCTGCCTCTCCCTGAGGGGAAGAGGCAAGTCTGCTCACATGACCAGGGTGTGAAGGAGGCCTGCATGGGAAGAGCTGGAGGCTGCCCTGGCTTTCCTCTCTGGGCCTAGACCCGGAGAGATCCAGTGTCTAGGTGAACTGGCACCACGCTGTGTCCACCAAGAAAGAGTCTGGCTGGACGTGTGGCCTGGCGCTCCCAGGGCTGCCTGGAACTTGTCAGTTGGATGCTCCTGCAGGGGTTTTCCAAACTGTGTTTCCTGGAACCCTAGACTGGAATGGGAGCAGCTTCACGGTACCCTGTGGGGACCCAGGGGTGTTGAGGAGTCAGATCCACTGCACCCCTCCCTCCCTGCTTGGATCAGAGAGGCTCAGCTCTCCCTGGCCTTACTTCAGGCCAGCTTGATAATAGCCCTTTCAACACACTATGATTAGAATTTATACTGTACAGAATCTTGGGGAACGGGCTCCAGAAACATGCATTTTAAATTAGCCTACCCCCAGCATGAATTCTCGGTTGACCTTTGGTAGTGGGGCTTTTGGCAACCTTAGAACAGGTGGGCAGGGTGCTCTCTGTGCTCCTGGGTACGATGAATGAGGTGTTCACATAGGAGACAGGACTTGGGGTGCAGGTGGCAGCTGTAAACCAGCCAGAGGCCCGGGGACGTGGAAAGTCTGAGAAACACAGAGGAGTTGTGGTCTGGGCACCCTTTCCCTCCGGGAAGGCCTCCTTCCCACGATAGCTCTGGAGGGTCCGCGTGTTCTTTTGTATTTTTTTATTTTTTATTAAGGAAGGTGGCATTTCCTTACCCCTTATACGAGCCCCCTGACCCCCAGTTAGTCCGAACCCAGACCAATTCCTCCCACAGGTGCACAGACAAGAGATCTGCTTCAGGGGCAGCAGACTTTGAACTGAAAGGCCAATTATTTTCTTTGCAAACTCCCACAGCTCCTTGGGCACATTCCGCTCGGAACAGGATGGCATCGGGTTACCGAGGCTCTCGCGGAACTGTTATTCCTGCTAATGCGAGGCAGAAAAACGTGACGCCCCAACAGAACACCCCCTGATCGATGGACTAACAGATTTCCAGTCACCAGCCCTGGCCGCCAAGCCTCGCGAGCCGAGCCGAGCCCCGAGAGTAATTTCCACCGACGGTGTCTGCAGGAGCCTCGGCGGCAGCAGCAAACGGGGCCTTGGCCCGCGTCCACGCGGCCCGATGGCAGCAGGAGACATTGAACCCGCTCCAGCGAAAACACGGCGCGGGCCCCAAACGTTCCGCGGGCTTCATGGGATCGGTATGGCCGGGTAAACAGCACCCCCAGGGCTTTCTTCATGATCTAACTCCTTCGGTAAATGAAGGAATTATTCCAGAAGCCCGAGACTCCGTAAATATCTCTGACAGCCTTCAAATTGTAGTTAAGCCCAAGTCCCCGAGGGGTTCCTGGGTTTCCTTGACATGAAAGGTTGGTCTTGAAAGTCTCAAGGTTGGAAACAGGGCTGTTAATTTTGCCCTGTTTATTAGGCATCGGTTTCAGGTGCTATCTGATTTATCCCCCGAGCGGGGCTCCCCACCTGCCCCGAAGACGGGACGGGAGCACGGCCAAGGGGACCATCCCTGATCCAACGGGCGCGGACCCAGGCCCGGCTGAGGCCGGCGAGCCAGGGCGCGGGCATCTGCTGCGTTACCCTCTGTCCTTGCCTCTATTTATTTTTCAATTAAAAAGCAAGCAAGCAAGCTGCCATGGCGACAGGAGGAATTTCCAGCTACCCTGACACACATCAGGCATTAATTTAGGAGTTCCGCGAACTCAGATTGGGGGAACGGGTTTTCCTTTTTTTTGCTCCCCCCCAAAAATAACACTTGGCTTTATGAGCCTTGCCGAAAACGCACCAATAGTCAAAACAACTGGCAAGTGATTTATAACGCTTTATCCCGGGCAGCTCGGGAGCCCTCCTGGGTCCGGGGGACCCCACTGCGCAGATGTGGAACCGAGGTGTGGGTGGTCAGGGCCTGCTCGGGGGAAATCGTGCAGGCCCAAAGGTAAACTGCACGAATTGGAATTTTGGTCAAGAGCTGCACTTCCGAAAACCACAATTATTTTCTTGGCCATATCATGATTTCCTCCATGAACCTTTCTTCTGGGTTAACCCTACAGGCAGGCAGTAGTTGCTCTTGTACCTTCTAGGAGTAGAGGAGAGAAGAAACCCCACAAACCCGGCCTCCGGGTGGAAGTGGAGGGCTTGAACACTACCAGCTTTACCCGGAAATGTGGCCGGCCACATCTAGCGGGGGATCCACATAGCGGAATTTAAGAAGAAATGATGGGAGGGAAAGGAATCCTGATGAATCCCTGTCTCTTGGAGAGACAACTCCTCTCTCGTCCCCCAGTCCAGGGCAATGTTCCCTATCTTGGGGGCTAACTGGTGTGAGTGGAGGGCTCGGAGGGCTCAGATTTCTGCACCGTGCTATTTATCCACTCTACGACCCGCCCTTTCCTCTGGTGCTCATCCTTGTCTGTTTTTCAGGAGCCCATTCAGCCTTCACGGTGAGTGTGCACGAAAAGCTGGCAGACAGGGGATCCCTGAGTGGCGCGGCGGTTTGGCGCGATCCTGGAGACCCGGGATCGAATCCCACGTCGGGCTCCCGGTGCATGGAGCCTGCTTCTCCCTCTGCCTATGTCTCTGCCTCTCTCTCTTTCTCTCTCTGTGACTATCATAAATAAATAAAAATTTAAAAAAATTTAAAAAGAAAAGCTGGCAGACAAAAACGCAATTCCAAACTGCCTGGCCACAGCATGTCAGAAAGAAAGAAAACGGGGAAAAGAAGTTGAATGCCAAGTTGAATATGCCGGAAGAGCTTCCCTCGTGGTGGTTGCAGGAAAACCATTTCGGCCTCAAAGCTTCTCTCCTCGTTGGTAACGGGAGGGGTGATGAGGGTTGTCCCAGGGACGGAAGCGGACGTGTGACGTGCTAAAGCAGGGCCTGATGTGCCCAAAGGGGGCAGGTCATATACTTGGTAGGTAGCACAATTATGTGATTAACAAGGGAATCTGGCTTTGCTAAAAGGTGTTGAGTTCTTGCATAAATCAATCCCAAATACCTACAGATGACGGCTCTCATGCCCAGAGTCTCCTACTATCCCCCCAGGACTGGAAGCCCAGCTCTATCCCCACCCCAGTCCCTGCGTCCATGGAAGCCTTTGGGGTGCTCGACGACGAATGTCTCCTCATGTTTGCTCATTGATTCCTGTTTAAAGATAGATCCTCTCCTTCCCCACTGGAGTGATCTCCCCACGAAGGCAGAGCCATGTCGTACTTATGTCTGGGTTCCCGACACAGAGCCTGACACTTGGCAGTGAAATATACTCATATGCTAGTGAATGCACGAATAAACACAGAGCCATCACTTCCCCCACGCCGCACCCCCGAATTGCACACCGAGACACACCAATCTCTCACTTAACAAGAACCCAAGCGCCCTGCTTACCTTCTCTAGATGTAGATTTACCCATCGCGTAAAGGTCCTCTTCTGCACATTTTCTCTCTCAACTGAAAACAAAGAAATGCTGTTAGCTGGATGAACTGAAATCCGTGCAAAATGCTGCCCTACTCTTCCCCAAGGGGGATCCAGGTGGGCGGCAGGCGGACCCGGGAGATCCCCTGTGGAAGTGAAGCCCATCCCAGAAGGGGTCCACAATGACTTGCATGGTGCCTAGAATCCATTTCTTTCCAGCCCAACTCCATAACCTCTTAGTGAGAATAAATAACCATGAATTCAGACACACACGTGTTCTTTCAGATAGGAAAACAGGGAGCACCTGCCCAACGTCACATGACCAGCAAGGTCATTCCCATTTCACAGATGAAGAAACAGAGGGACAAGCAGCTAATACGCAGCCAAGCTGGGACTTGAAGCTGGATCCCGTGTGTTTCCCACTTGCTGCTGAGCTCTGTGGCCTTAGCGGGCTTGGTGCCCTAGGACCCGGACCACGGGTGGAGATGCCAGCGCCTAGGTCTGGGTGCTCGCTGGCCTGTGGCAGCAGTGTCCCCCCCCCCCCACCGCAAAGCTCAGGCTGCTACACCCCGCAGGAAGCTTCCTTGAAATGTCTGAGCCAGATGACTCCTGAATTACTAAGTCCTGGATTTCAACATATTGGAAGAACGTATCACATATGCTTAAAATCACTCGTTTCTTTAGCCATAAGTAAATGGGAGGCAATTTATCTCTTGGGGGAGCAGAGGGGCTACGGTTTTCTGTAACGACTGTGGTTCTTTTTCCCTCTCAGTCTCATTATTAGGTAGATAGTGGTGCCCATAAATCAAATTTTAATATTGTGGCTTTCAATCTTTTTAATTGAAGAGCCAGCAGACAGTAATTATGCACATAACTACTTTTTTTTTTTTTTACTCATTTTCCTCCTCTTCTGAAAGGAAAGGTCACTTAGCAAGCAGGCGTAGGAATTAAAGATCTAATTCCAGTAAACTGTGTTTTGTGGGCAGAGAGAAGGAAAGGAAAGGAACTTGAAAGAAATGAGGGAGGGAGGGGGCATCTGCTGAGGGCCATGAGCTAGAGTCTCAGAGCTTTCCAGAAGACTGGAGAGCACGCTGCCTCCAGGCCCCACTTGGGACCTTTCTGCCAGAATATAGGTGTTGCAATAGCTCAGCGGCCGTCCCTCTGTGGACGGCATTTGGCAGTTTACGGTTTTTCACTGTGACAAGCAGTGTGGCAGCGAACATCCTTGCACAAGTGCCCTGCTGAGTGGTTCTTTGTGCACAAGCGTATGAATATACGTCTCATGCCTGACAACTAAAACTGTGGAACTGCAGGGTCTTAGTGGTAGGCACATTTAAAATTTTAATAGCTACTTCCAAATTGCCCTCCCAAAAGGCCGCCCCGGTTTATACTTTCACCCCCACCTGTCTTTAAACAAGTTTATGGGATTGTAAAGTATTTACACACACATTCAAACACTCAGGCTGGTTTCTCCATATGGCTTCAGAGAGAGAGCAAAGTACGTCCCCTGAAACAGAAGTGCATTCAGTGAAAGCCTGAGAGAACCTGGTTTGGACTGTTGGCTTAACGATGCGGAAGGGTACAAAAGAGGAAGTGGGTGTCTGTGAGTCTATATATGCCTCATGTATCCATCCCCGCATCCATCTGTCCATCCATCTATCCTTCCATTCATCCAACCATCCATCCATCCATCCATCCATCCATCCTCCCCCCATGCATCCCTCCGTCCATTCATCCATCCAAACAACCATGTATCTATCCATCCATCCTTCCACCCATGCATGCATTCATCCTTCCATCCTTCTGTCCATCCATACAACCATGCATCTATCCATCCATGCATCCATCCTTCCATCCAACCATGTATCCATCCATCCATCCATCCATCCATCCATCCATGCATCCATCCTTCCATCTTCCCAGCTGACATTGTCAGTGCTCATCATAGGATAGGAACTATGCCAGACCCTGTGGACAAAATCAAAGATAAAGAACACATTCATGGAATCTGCACTCCATGAATTCACAGCCAAGAAGGAGAGAAGGCATGGATGCTACAAAGCACATCGGCAAGGAGAAATAAATCAGAAATTTCCAGGGCTGGGATCCCTGGGTGGCACAGCGGTTTAGTGCCTGCCTTTGGCCCAGGGCGGGATCCTGGAGACCCGGGATCGAATCCCACGTCGGGCTCCCGGTGCATGGAGCCTGCTTCTCCCTCTGCCTGTGTCTCTGCCTCTCTCTCTCTCTCTCTCTCTCTCTCTCTGTGACTATCATAAATAAATAAACAATTAAAAAAAAACTTAGAAATTTCCAGGGCTGATGGGGATGAGTGGAGGTAATTTCAGACCCCAGGGGATACCCCTCCAGGGGCCCTGAGAGGATCCCACAGTAGAAGTGGGACATGGAGGGGCTCCTGCAGGCAAGGGCAGTCAGTGTCCCAGCCCTGCCCTGATCCACAGCCGACCTCTGGGAGGCTTCATTTCCATTCCAGCCACGGTCTGTGGGAGAATCTGAGCACAGATTAGTTTTGACAGCAAAGCTGACCCACGGGAGGGCAACGTGATGACTGAAGACAGCAGGGGACCGTGAGACTAAATCACAAATAACAGATGAGTCCCAAACTGAAATAGGGTATGGAGACCATAATTTCTGGACCTGAAACTGGGACACATTGCTCAATACACAGGAGAGAAAGAGAGAGGCTGTGAGAATTTAGCCTGCCCCAGAACATCCACCCGAGAGCCACACACCACTAGCTGTGCGACCTTGGGCAAGTTCACGGCTGTCACTGTGCCTTCGCCTCAGTCTCCCCTCTAGAGGAGGAGGATAACTGTGCCTTCCTCACAGGCATGCAGGGAAGATTCGAAGGCATCACCCCCGAAGGCTTCCCCGACAGCTGCTCCATGAGGGCCACTTACCTGGCCTCACAGCACACCCTGGACCTGCAGTATTTTGTCTGGTGTCTCGACACAAGGGTCTGATGTTCTTTCATGACCTTCTCCATTTCCAAGTACCCACCCCCATCCTGCAGGCTCTTTCTACTTCTGGCCTGCCAAGACTCCATAAACTTTATATAGTTTCCATAAATCCAGTGCCCCCTTTTTTCCTCGGCATCTATCACGTTGTAAAGGTGTAGGGAACTATTTCTCTGGAAGGGTCTGGCCTTTTCACGGAGTGTTTGTGGGGCCCGGTATGGGTTTGCTGGGCAACAGTAGAGCAATAACAGTGCTGTAAAAGCACCATCCCCGGGTCTGCCTGGCTGGCCGGGGTGCCCAAGCGCTGGGGCAGGGGGTGGAGGACGAGGAGGGGGAGGAGGAGCTCACCAGGCCTGGGACCCAAGGGACAGAGAGAGAGAGAGGAAGGCTCAAACTTCGGGCACAATGCCACCATCCTGAATCCCCACCTCCCCACCCCCGACCTGACTCTGGCCCCTGCCTTGCCAAGAACTGACAATTTCAGGGGCACCTGGGTGGCTCAGTGGGTTAAGTGTCTGACTCTTGATTCTCGCTCAGGTCATGATCTCAGGGTCATGAGACTGAGCCCCACATCAGGCTCTGAGCTGACGCAGAGGCTGCTTGAGAGTCTCTCCCTCTCCCTCTGCAGCCACCCCACCCACCCCTGGCTCATGAGTGCTCTGTCTCAGAAAAAAAAAAAAAAAAAGACAATTTCAAAATGCAACCTTCCTCCCTTCTCAGGAGTCAGGAGCCACAGAGAGAGGGATGCTGGCTCGGGATGAAAAAAAAAAGAAAAAAAAAAAAAGCAGGTTGATGTACACTAAGGCCTCCCTTCCCTATATCCACACTTCCCTTAAACCTACTTCCTATATAACATTTCCTCTTTCACACTTCCGCTCTTCCCCACCCATGAGAAAGGCTTGATGGCTTATCTATTTATAAACATATGCTCGTTGTAAGAAAAAAAAAAAAAAACATAAACTACAGGAAGGCATAGTGAGATCTCAGTACACCCGGAGATCACCACTACTGATAGTTTACGGATTGTCCTAGAACCACACGAGCACACGCGCGTGTGCATGCACACACACACAGCTAAAGCACAAAGATACTCACGTAAACAATTTAAATATGGCCAGCGAATGCCTTGATGTTTCTCAAAGTACGGCCCACAGGTCACTCGCTCTACGAGCTTCTGGGGTGAGCGTTAACACGCAAATTCCTGGACCCCATCCTAGACCTACGGACTCACTCTTTCTGGGGTCGAGGCCTGGGAACCTGCATTTAAACAGCTTGGTGCGCGCCAGTGCTGCACACTTTGAGGGCCCGGGTCTCACTGGGAAGAGACAGCTCCTGGCTATCTCCAGGCCGAGTGTAGAGGGCAACGGGCACGTCGGCTGGCGGAGAAGGAGCAGGCCACGTCCACAGGCTTCACCACAGACCGAAGACGGGGACACAGGGACGGTTCCCGGGCTTGCCAACTGGCAACGGGCAAGGAAAGCGTCCTTTCTTTTTCCTTCATTGTCCAAAGGGCTCTTCCTGCCACTGCTCTTCCAGTGGCTTTAGTCCCTGAATTCATACGTATCTCTGACTCCCCAGAGAGATGAGCTGGAATTTACTAGAAGGACCGCAGACCAGAATTCCCACAGGGGGCCTGCGTTCAGAGGGAGCGTTTCCTCCCAGCTTCGGAGGCAGTGCCTGGTGAGAGGAGGGAGGCAGCCGGGCGGGCTGTTCCACCTCCACCTCCCGGAAGTCCTCCAGCTTTCTGGCTGCCCTTGCCTCACACCCCTTGCACAGGCTGGAGGCCCCCAAGGCCGAGCTCTCAGCCTGTGGTGCTCAAGCAGGGGCGCCTCTGCCCCCGCGGGACACCTGGTAGCACCTGGGGAAGTTTGGGTTTTCATCCCGGAGCAGAGGGTTCGACTGGCATCTAGTGGCTCGAGGCCAGGCATGCGGCTCCGCATCCTAGTGTGCATGGGGTGAGCAGCCCTTGTGTGCGTGTCGGGGGCTCTGGGCCACCCAGGCGGCTCCCCCCACTGCTACCAAGTACACAGAAAAGCTACAGCAAGTGAGAGGCCTGCCGA